CTGTTTCTAAGCTTCAACGCCAAGAGGTTTTGAAAGGCTCCAGAACAAACATAGTCACTGCACATAGAAACACGGTGTGTGATTAAATTAAATGGTCAGGAAATCTGTAAACTAGGAATGGTCTCCCACGGTTGCAGAGATTCAACAGGCTTTATGATTTTCTTTGGACTTTACCACAGGCAGGTACAGAGTCAGCACTGCAACTGGTACATGAATCAGCCCCACCGCATGGCAAGAAATAAGACAAACTTGCATTAACCTTCAGGTCCTGTATATTTTTATTTACCAAATTAGAAAAAACTCTACAGAAATTATATGAAGTTAAAGATTAATAGGTTAGGCAGAAACTGTAAGCATGCAACAGGTTGTGTGTTTCATAATGTCAAGTTTCAGTGCAAATGCTGAAGAAGGAATCTACCCAAATGCATTTTGATTTAGTTACTGGAATGATGTGCTGGCCCTGCCAAACAAACACTGATGGAAACCTCTCTCCTGCTATTGTGAAAGGCATTTTTATTTTTGAGGCAGATATGTATCAGCTTCCATTTATTACAAACTCATTGGAAACCACTGTATTAAATATAGTAAGAGACATACCTAGCACGTGTTACTAATTCTTAAGGGATTAGCTTTAGTCTTTGATACATAATTCTAATTATAAGGTCTTTTGTAATGGGAAATACAGGGAGCTGGTGTCTTTTTTGCCTTTTATGGCCTAATAAGTATATTGCAGAACAGGGATCATGAGGTATGTCCAGGGTAGAGGAAAGTGCTCTCTGCACTGAAGATTGCTACTTTCTGAAAATAATACACCTCATACCTTACAGTTCATTGTTCTCCTGGACACTACTACAACTCCACAACACACAGATGTATCCGATGCCCTGTGGGAACATACCAGCCTGAGTTTGGTCAAAACTACTGCATCACCTGCCCTGGAAACACAAGTACAGATTTTGATGGCTCCACCAATGTTACGCACTGCAAAAGTAAGTTGCATTTATATTAGTTGTGAGCTGAAGCATATCTTCGACTCTGAACTGCAACTTGAAGTTTCCATCTGTCAGGCTGAACTTCAATTCTGTATCTCCTAGTTAGCATATATCTGCTGCCAGAGGGAACAGTAAAAATTGGGAAAACAATGAGAAAAAAAATCCTGGAAAAGTATCACTTGATGCATGTGATTGTTTTAACTTTAATGTAGTTTGGCAGAGTGCCAGCTACAAGTTAAAACTACAGAGCTTTTGGTTTCCCAGATCCTGTAAGTTTTCTTGCAGTGATGGATATTCCTCCATGTCTCTATAGAGCACAATATATTCTATCAGAGTAACTTCCTTTTTTTAATAATTGTAAAATACTAGGGGATATGGTTGTGCATACTGTGATTGATGGGTTATTGCTCATGACAGTGAAATCTTCTCATAGGCTTTCTTGCAGCACTCAGCCTCCTATCTTCAATTACCATTTTAAATACTCCCAAGGATTCCAGTGCAATTTTATTTGATCTTTTGTGAATGACTGATTCTTTTAGGCAAGCAATTTTTTTCATACCTACCATGCTAATTTGAGAAAACGTCTCTATAATAATTAGGTAATGTCATCTAAGCTAGTTATTCATATGCAAGTGTAAGTCTTTATTGCATGCCATGTGTCTTTGAAGCCCTCCACCATTTCTAATGTAATTTGAGTAAATTAGATATTTGTAAGGAATTGGAAGAAGTTTGATGATTTTCCTGTAAAACAAAACCACCCTTGTCACTTCACTGTCTTAGATACTCCATTTTCAAGCCAATTCCTGACCTTAAATAATCTTTGAGGTTTGCATTAAGCAAAATATTTAAACATATATCTAGGGTTTTTTGTGGGTAAATAGACCTGGAGAGATCAGGCTTAAGTAACTTACTGAATCAGACTTCTGTGGCAAATTCAATAGAAGTTTTGAAAACTCAGAAAGGAAAACTGATCCGTCAGTAGATTCTTTATTAACTGGTTTAATACAAGATAAAGCAAGGCAAGATAAGGTTGGCTAGTAGGATCATCACACTCATTCAAGTTAAAATACAAGTCAAGTTATACCAGAATACCTTCTGTATTTCAACATGGTCTCAGTGGTAACCACTGGGTGAGTACCTCCACAATGGGATCATGTCTACTTACCTGTATTTGTTTCTTAATCACATGTTAAAGTAGCCTGAATGAAGTCTTTTATCAGTTTATACACTGGAGGTTTTGCAGTATAAAACCTTATACACTATAAGGTTTTGCAGATCAGTTGGAGCAGCCCTGCAGATTAAGTATTCCCTTAAAGGCTTTCCATGCCAAGCAAAGAGGCAGCTGGAGAATGTGTGCATTTCTAAAGCCACAAGGAGGAGTTTAGACTTGCTCTTGACAGATCTAGAAAAACACCTCAAAGCAGCTAATCAGCTAACACAAATGCTAATTTATGTTTCTCCACAGACCAGCACTGTGGAGGAGAACTTGGGGATTATACTGGCTACATTGAATCACCCAACTATCCTGGAGACTACCCAGCTAACGTTGAATGCATCTGGAATATAAATCCACCCCCAAAGAGGAGAATACTCATCGTAGTACCTGAGATCTTTCTCCCAATTGAAGATGAATGCGGTGATGTTTTAGTAATGAGAAAAAGTGGTAAGTTGCCAGACATGGGTTATATAAATATTTACTGCAAACTGACTGAGTGGAAAGTTCATATTGAAGAGATGACTGTCTTCATCTATATGGTGTTTCTAAAAGGATTGCTGAATGAGGTGGCACAGCAAGTTAAAACAGAACACTCTACCAATAACAATTAACAGAGTGATATTAATTATTCAAGTGTCTTGGCTTAATCACAGGGCAGTTAATGGGCTTCTGTCTGGCCCAATTATCATGTGGGATAAATCACTACCACTCTAGAAGTCAACAAAGCTACGCTAAGTTACACTGGGAGAGTTATCTCCTGTGATCTGTACAAACTGCTCTCACTTACTCTTTGCAAGTATCTATATGCTGCAATTAGTGCTAAATCTGTGCAGTGACACAGGTTACTATACTTGACACCCTCAAGAAATCCAAAGTTTCCTCAATTTTCTGTGGAGTGGGGGTTGTGTTGTGTCTTTGCTGATGAAGTTAATTCAACAACTTCTGGAGTTAAGACACCAATGAGATGCACTCCTTCTTCAGTCTTATGTAGGCATCCAGCTCTGGTAATCTGTTGCTAAATCTCCAAAAAGTACCAAACTTGAAAGGCAATTGTTTATATGGAGCTTTGTTCAAAACAGCATATTTTACTTGCTAAAACAGCGTATTTTATTTGCTAAAACAATTTTCCCAATTTTTTATCCTTGAGGGTTTGTGTTGACATCTCTATATATCAGGTTAGTACAAGAAGAAACCTGCTTGCTACAGATGGAAGGAAATTATATCTGTCCGCATCAGATTTTTAAAAGCAAACACACACTTACTGTAGCAGAACAAATCCCAAGCTGTGGTTCCAACTGTGAGTAAAGCCAGGCACATAAGGAAAAGTTTGACTTACACTTCATTACCAATAACAGTACCAAAACACCACCACCACTGGAAAATGAGGGCAGTTTTTCAGAGTCTGCTTTGTGATCACTGTATGTTTGGCATCATAAGAGTAGATCTTCCAAATATTTATCATAGTTCATGTAAGATCAGCTGCTAACATTACTGTGGAAAAACTGATGGCAGTTCCAGGATTTCAGTTAGATCCTTTTTTTGAACTTCAGGAATCCAAATCCCATTCAATTAAAAAAGTCTCTTTTTGGTATCATTGTTGAAAGTTAAATCAGCACTAGCAAGTTCAGATTTTAGGTCACACTTGTAATTTTCCCTAATTATCCTGTGGCTATGGAGTGGGGCTTTTTGAACTAGATGAGAAGCTATTTTTTCCTTCTGTTTGAAATTCATTTCAAATTAGAGGAGCCTCATGATACCTTCATAATGATTTGAAGACATCCTGTACTCTCCATCTGTTACTTATGTTAGGACCAAATGGCAGGTCTTTCTGGTTTGCAGACTATTAACGCTATTTCAGTATAGATAAATGACATTTTCATTTCAAACCTAGAGCCAGGTGTTTTGCATTGGGAGGTGCTGGTTCTTATACTCTGTAAGGCATCATTTAAATTGCTATTTTTTAGAGCTATCATTATAAGGAAAGAATAGTATCGATAATCCCACATCCTTTTAGATGGTAGGAACCACAGGTATAAAATGGCCTCTGATCCACACGCAGCATGCTGGGCAGACCCTGTCTGTAGAAGAGATTTTGTCCTTTCAGTCATTTGAGCTGTTATACGATTTTCTCATAAGGAAACAACTCATCTTATCTACTGTCAAACAGAAACAATGTTCTCATGAGAACTTCTTGCCTCACTTTTAGATAAAGGCAAGGCCATGCTGTGGCATAATCACCACTACCAAGTGGGAGCTGCCCGCAAGTTTCTCTCGTTACAAGGAGCTGGCTGAGGTTGTCCTGCAGCCCTGGGGAGGATGGCAGCCTGCAGCACTACAGGGGCCTGCAGGCCACACTGGGCACACAGCATAGGCATGGCCACACCCAGGTTAACTGTTTGGTGGATCACCAGCTCCTGGGTGTGCGGTGTCTGAATCTGTCAGAATCGCTACCCCAGGCTCTTACATTCTGATCAGTGATTTATTTCTCTCAGATTAACTCCCCAGCCTGGCTGTGGTGGGAATTGGTTACCACATCTGCCTGGGGTGCAGATGACTTGTTCTTACCTGTCCGGGCTCAGCGTATGGGAGCCCTGGAATTCAATGCTAGAGCAGTACACAAAATAAGTCATATCAACAGCAATTTTATAAAAGTCAAAATCATCTGTTCCACTATGTGAGCTTCTTGCTGTAGGACAGAGGGGTTCCCACTACCTTTGTGGAAAAACTTACTTCTCCTTATAAACAGATAAAGACTACATCCCTTCTGTCACAAGAAACTTCTGTTCTCGGGAATATATCAACTGAGAAGTGGCCTGTCAATTTGTCATTTCTGAGCTCTAGATCAGGAAGGGTGCCAAAAGTTCTTTCATAAAGAACATTTATTTATTTAACCTCCTTTCTAGCATCTCCTACTTCAATTACTACATATGAAACATGTCAGACTTACGAAAGACCTATTGCATTTACCTCAAGATCAAGGAAGCTCTGGATTCAGTTCAAGTCAAATGAAGGGAACAGTGGCAAAGGATTCCAGGTCCCCTATGTGACTTATGATGGTGAGAATGAGATTGTTTCCTGTCTTTGTGTTATATCTGGATTACAGAAAATTGTCCTTTAGAATCTTTCTTATGCTGATGACAGGAAGAGAAGAATGAGGAAAAGCTTGATGTAACTCACCAAAATGAGAGCTGTTCTTAGGGCAAAAAACAAAGACCTGTTCCTGACTGTGTTGCTGACTTCTCATATAACCTTTGACAGTTATTTCATATGCCTGGCCCTTTTTCTTCATCTCTAAAATGAAGATAATAAAGCATTATTATCTGGAGGGCATAGTTTTCTGGGGATAAGTTAGTATTTATAAGGATAATTCAAAATTACTGTTCTAAAGCAGTACAGAATTTTAATGTGATTAGATTAGACTACAGCAGCTTGAGGGATACTGAAGTATTAACTGGATACTAAATTTTTCAGCCCTGTCTTGAAGCTGATGCCTGGCTATTATTCTCCCAAAAGATGTCACTAACGGTCACTCAACTGATCTTTATTTTGCAGAGGATTACCAACAACTAATAGAAGATATTGTTCGAGATGGACGATTATATGCCTCAGAAAATCATCAAGAAATTCTAAAGGTAAGAAAACTCTGCTTTATCTAAGTCTAACCAAGAGTTCATTTTCCTAAATATTTTCCCAAGATAGTTCTCATAGTTCTGGTAGAGTCATAATATTCAAACCTCAAGTGTGACCCCAGATGGTTTATGCTGGTATTTGGAGCAACACAAAATCAGTAGCTCAGCTGGGCTGATCACATGTGTATGTCCTTTGCTGAATCAAGAACTAAATGAAATGTATGCTAACATGATTGTATGTTAGAGAATATAGTCAACCAAGAATGAAGAACATATTCTTTGAAGAGGCTTCTTCAGCCTCAGTGTGGTATGTGTTAAAAATGAGTCATTAAGTTAGAATTTCCTGTGCATGAAAAGATGTATTTACCTAAATCGCTGTCCTGCCTCAACAAGACACAACCATAATGTGGCATTGTAAGCTGTCCATGAAATCATTTTCCAAAGGCACAAGCAACACATAGGAGAGAATTGTAGAGGAAGACTGCTGGGCTGCCACCTGTAACAACTCGCTGATTAAAACTGAAGAAAGGCTGTTCAGAAGGCAAAATTCAGCTGTGTAAATGCACAGCTTGAAAGGGCAGGAAATTATTAACAGCCAGCTGCCCTGGCCACCCCTGCTCCTATCGCTGGAGCTTTGAGGTCACTCCAGTCTTAACTCCAGTGTATACAGTCAGGCTCTGAATCAAGACTTTATCAAGGTACAGGAGGAGATCCTTAAAGAGCTCAGAGTCACTGAAGACAGCTTTCTCGTCTTCGTGGAGGGAAGGCCCTGGACAACAGCATGAAACAGGCTGGAAGGGCAGTCAGAGGCAGTTTGCAATTCTAATGCATAACTTCTGCAGCTGTTTGTGGTTAACCCAGCTGCTACTTTCTCAGTTCAGGACCTTCCAAGAACACTAACTGCAAAAAAAAGGTCCAGCACAGTAGAAAGATTCATCCGTATAAAACTCTACAGCAACATGGAGGAGTTTCCTACACTGCTTTACCTAGAATCAAGTTTTTAAAAAAACCAAACTGACTGTTGTTCATTACTTTTGAAAGCTGTGCAGAAACACAACACAAACACTATTTTTACCTAATATATATGTTGTCTCCCATAGGACAAGAAACTGATTAAAGCTCTCTTTGATGTACTGGCACACCCACAAAACTATTTCAAGTACACAGCACAAGAGTCAAAAGAGATGTTTCCAAGATCATTTATCAAGCTACTGCGATCAAAAGTTTCCAGATTTCTACGACCATACAAATAGTCTACTGGTATTCAATTTTGGGTTACTTTACATTCCTGTCAAATATTGTCTTTTCTCCATAGTAGAAACATTCACTAATTTGAAGGCTCTTTTTTGCAGTCTTTATTTTCAGTTGTATATTGAAGAATACCTATGTTTTATAATCATTAAAAGCCAATGTTCTGAATGGGATTGTTAATACAAAAAAAATTGTTCATCCCTGAGTGCATCTAGTTGAAGATTCAAATTTGTGTCTGCACTAGTGTACCTTCACTTTCCAGTTGAAATTACATCATGTAGAAAATATTCTTAATAGCTTTTTATTTTTCATCAAAAATAACTTTTTTCAAAGCAAAGAAGCTATCTTTTCAAATCCGATTAAACTACCTGCAGATAAGTTCGGTTGTAGAAAGAAGTATGTAGTATAAATAATACTTGGATTTTGAATTGCACTTGACGTTTATATTTGAATCTTTAGAAGAGAACAAAACAATCTAAACTTTGCTATTTCTCATTTGTGGCTTAGTGAAACCTCTGTCCAAGCAGAAATCAAAAGGGAAACAAAAAGAAGAACGAAAAAAAAAACAACCAAATCCACCAAAACCTAGATATATAATTTTGTTTTATGAATTACATGAGACTGAGTTCCATGCCCTGATGTTTTTATCTGTCCTCTTCTAAACTTTTTCAGAGGTTTGCCACTGTTAATTACTTCATTGAAATAGGTTTAGCTCTGGATTTTTATACACCAGCTGGTCCCTTTGAAGGCATTTACAATAGGATAGGTGAGAAATGAACAACAGCAGCAATAGTAGTAGTCTTGTTTTCCTTTCCGTTAATAGAGCATCTAATTAAGTACAATATATAAATATATAAATATATACTTCTATTTGTGGGTACATGTAATGTTATCTTTAGTTACTGTAAATATTATTCATGCTTAAATCTTTACTCCCACACACCCTATTTACTTATATCTATTTGTAACTTTGCTTAGGTGATTAAATGACTTTTCCAAGTGCTTGTCACTTACATTAACGCCAAACCAAAGCCTTTTGGTGTTTTATAATACAGGATAATATTTTACTCTGGGACAATCTTTTTCAACATACATTACTCCAGGAAAAATAATACCAGTTAAGATGCAACTGCTGTCCAGTAAAGTGTTGGTATTGCCCCTTCCGTGGGCACCCCTCACGTGCAGACCAACAGAGTTACCCCTGAGGATGACACACGTGAGAGGAGCTCACCAGGGAGGAATTGTGGGACCTGCCACCTCTCAGATGCTGGGAACATGCCTGTGTCACAGACACAGAGTCTAGGCAGGGTGAGGGGGGTGAGCAGGACACAAGTTTTGCAGATGAGTTGGAGGACAGGCCCAGTAGTCTTCAGAGACCTGGCACTCCCTTTTATGACAGATTCACAACAACGGTGCCCATCAGCTGTAGGGACTGTACGGTCTGCGAGGGAGCCTCAGCCTGGTGGGCAGGCCCTCCTCACAGAGTGACAGGCACTGGTGGGTCAAGATGATTATATAGCCTGTGTTTCTTGCTGTTTCCTGACACAGGAGCTAATTTCAATGACAGAGTAGCTATTTTTATTAGTATTTCAGCCTCTTTCTTTTTAAGTCCTTTCCTCTTGCAGTTAATTTTCCCTTTTGATCCTACAAGTTTATTAGATGGAGAAATTAACTATCACACCAACATCCTTTCAGAAAAAGATTAACATACAGTTTTGCTTCACTGCATTTTTTTTTTGCTTATCTACCCTGTAGTTTAGCATACCCTTGGATGGTCTCGAAGACTGACATTAAGGGTGGTTATGGTTAACTTATCACACTTTTTTTGGTCTCTGAGCAAGTAATGTTTAAATTTACAAAGTTGTTTTCTGTTATCTACACAGTGTTGAATATTCTAAGAGACACATTTAGTATTCTGTTGAGTTTTTCTACTTGGCTGTCTTGTAATTTTGCTTACCTTCTTTCTTTCCTGTTGAAGAGCATATTTTTTCTTTCTATGCCTAAACAGTTTCAACTTAGGGTCGAACAACTCACTTTTTCTCTCTCATGGGTCTCAGGTCTCTGATGAGCTTTTTCTTTAGCATACATATTTATAGATTAACCCTCATTTCAAAATGTAACATCTCCATAAATGTCCTTTATGAAAGTCTGTTAAACCAAACTTTTTGTGAGGATGTTGAAACTACTTTTATTAAATGTCCATTATGGGTTACTAAAGGTGGACAATTGAAGGAGAACATCTCATCAGTCCTAGATTCAGTGCATGCCTGGAATGAAAAAAAAGAAAGTTACATGTATTTTTTTCCTTTTCAAGAGTTATTTGTAGAAAAAATTTAAATCTTAAAACAGCAAAAAAATCTTTTTAAGTACTCAATTATGTATAAGTGTATAGCTTAAAAACTACTTCAGCCAAACAGCATTTCAAAGTCTGGTAGGTTATTCAGAATGATTAGAATGGGTGAGGATTGCGGCCATTCTACTGAAAGATACGAGGGAAAAGATATGAAAGCTATGGAGAAAAATAACTTCCTTGTTTGCTGAATGGTAAACAGTGATCAGTACGCCAAACTTCAGTAAGTGAACTTTGGAACCTGATGCTGTGCAGTCAGTTCAGTAAAATCCTCGCTAAAATTTTTGCTTAGCAACCCACATGTTTGGACATAATACCACTGTACGACACGGTTGCCAAGCTGAAAGTAATTGCCTGACGAGCCCAAAAACCACTGGCAGCACCGTAACATTTTCCAGGTTCTTAGCTACATGGGGAATCCAGTGCCAGATAGCAACTACAAGAGGGACGTGTCCCAGTGGGACCTTGGTACATCTGTGAGAGGTGAACAGGGGAGACAAGCAGCATTTAGCTCTGGTACAACTCGCCTCGACTTATAGCCACATTAGTTCATCCTCACAGACAACCCGAGAGTACACGTTAGCTCACATTCCCCAGAGCCATGCAGGGCATGGACTCCAGAGTTAGGACAGGGCACTCAGGGACTTCTATAGCAAATGTAGACTTTGTGTTGCCAAGAGCAGTGAAAGAAAGAGAATAATTTAGCCTTCAAAAGTATGCAGTAAAATGCTTCTGAGTATATAGGGGTTCCAATTAAATAAGTAATGACACGTGATATGAAGGACTGTCTGAACTGATTTCAGCTGATTTGTACAACAGCACTGAAATTTTACATCAGCTCTAAAAGTTAAAAATGCTTTGACTTTCATACTAGATTTATAGTTACAGAAACTGGCGGTCACCAAATAGAAGATGAGCTGAGCTCTTCATTTGTTAATGTAGGTGCAGGTTGTCTTCATCATCAGAAGTCAGAGAACATATTGCTACTATACCATAAGAGTACAAGAAGGAACATCTTCTTCTATGGAGAAGACATAGACACATTTAGGAATCAAAAACCATACAAGGAGAAATGTGGCTGCCTTTAAGAAAACCAGCTTCATTAAATGAATCAATACATCGCAGAATAGAAAATTCTGGCTTTTACCCTAAACATATTCAATAAATACAGCCCTGTAGTTGTTCTTATAGAATTACACAGTGTATACAGGAGAGGTGCAACAATATGTTTACGTGTTATTGCAGAAAGGCTGAAGTAGTGTCCATTTATGATTGCCCAATTCCATGTCAGAAACCAAGCTTTCTGTTTTCCATTTGCAAATGCCTGTATGCTGAAAAGCTGCATCTGTAGCACTTACACTTTTAAGCCTCTCCTCCTGCTTTAAATATTGCACTTATTTTTAGTGAGGTGGTGGGGAATCATCCCTAAACATTCTCGTGTACCACCAAATCACCACCTGCATACCTGCTGCAGTCCAGGAGACTGCTACAATCAGAAGTCGCTAATCAAGCCTCAAGTCATGCCATGAAAGCACTCGCTAGTGATTGCTGTGGGCAAGGTGTCTCTGTGTCTAATTTGAGTCCAGGAAGCATCAGGATTCAGTGTTCAGTAGATTGTCACCTGCATCTTGCCTGCAGTAGCAAGATTTATTCTGCCTGAAGATTTAGCTCAGCAAAACTGGATTTAAAGCTTGTGAAGATTTCTTTCAGCCCGTTTTCTTGCCTTGCCTTCCTTCTTCCATCATACATTAAATTTTTACCTAAAGACCAACTTTTCAAAAGAAATTAATTTCCTCATTCTGCCTTCCCCTAAAGTTAAATTGCAGTGTGTTACAGCTACTGAAGATTTAGACTGATCTTTCCTACACATCAGCTTCATACTAGGGTAAGCTTACTTAAAAGTAGCCTAGTACCTAGTAATTTGAGTAATTAATACCAACCTACCTTAGTTCAGTTTTAGACTAGCTTACATAAATACAGGCTTGGTCTCAGTGTTTTCAGACTCTCTGCATTCTGAGTTTTGAAAGAGCACAGCTCACCTGTAGCCCTCTGTCTGTGAGCAGAACACAAGGATGATGCCACACGAACAAGAAACACACTTACATGCATGCATGAAACATTCCAGGAGGAAAGTCAAACCCCACCCCATGCCCCTTTGTAAGGGTACCCAACAGACTCAGATTTCTCAGGTCAGTCTTGTCTATAAACAACCCCATTTTAATATCAGGAGCAAACATAGTGGTATGATTCTTACACAGGAGCTGCTGGCAGTAGGTCTTTACCTAACTGCTCTGTGACAGTTCCTGCGTCTGGACTCTAAATATCTTTGAGTGCTCTTAAAAAAAAAGCTGGAGTGAAATCTTCAGCAACTGCATCCAGTGGCGAATTTCTTAGCCACCTCAGGGGTCTGGATTTTCCCTTGTCTAATGCTGGGAATGAGCAACGCAGGCAATTACTTGTACCTGTGTCATGAGTTCAGGTAGTTGCATTTTCTTCATAGTTTAAAAGCACTGATTGATGGGAATGGTAGTAATTGGAGAAGTTCTACAGACTCTCAATACTTGGAGACTTTAATGAATTAGTTTTCTAGGATGAGAGACTGTTGTAAGCACTTGGGAAAAAAATACTTCTGTCTCCCGTAAGAATTTATGGAAGAAGGGAAATTTCTGTAAGGTAATATAAACTTACTCCTTGGGCTGAGACTTGGATTCAGAGAGAAGTCTCACATTTTATCATAATATTTTTCATCTGAATAGAAACAGACTGGGAAAGAAACTCTTAATGTCAAAAAACTGT